TCAATGGACGCTTACATGACACTTCGTCACTGAATAGTAAACAATTCCACGATAAGTCGTCACTCCTTCGCTCTTGTTGACTTTACTAATATTACAGCTCCTCAATAATGTAGTGTATCTCAATCCTTCCCGAAAAACTTCCAAGCTTCGTTTCACGTAGACTGATTTCACCAAAAGCGATGAATTGCTCATTCAAACATTGTTTCGATCGACTTGGCCAGAGGGCAAATTCTTCTAAAATGAACAAATTGTCGACAAATCCCGTAATTATCATAGCCACGATGTTTGGTTCGGTACCGACACGGGGAACAATTAGCTCATTCAAACACTTAAAAGTTTCTAAACAAAAGGAAGGCAATTGTTGAAATAATAACTCCAGTAAGACTGATAAGATATCGCTTTGTCCGTTGTTTCGTTTGGTCTTTCCTTTGAGTTTGATCGTTAGCGTGTTCAGGCACGGTATCACTGTAACTCTTAGTGACGATCTATTTAGCATTTTTGATCATCCTTTTTAATTAACTTGTTTGCCTTTTTCGATTTTAATTTCATGCAGCTCAGTCTTTGAAAATTTTAACAAAAAGCAATTAGGCAATCGGATCAACTTCATTGCCAATAAAGAAAGGCTTACGGAGTTATCAGCGGGACGTTTGCAAACATGTACAAGAAAAGTGAGATACAACTTTTGTTGTTCATGTGTGCAGAAGGCTCGATTACCACCCGCTGTTCGGGAAAGGAACCCAGCTCACAAACTATAGAGCTTAATTCTCCACACGTCATGCTCCACACCGTCACCCCAAAACGCAGACCATGCAGACTGCAGATTACGGACCGTGCAGACCGGACTAATCTGACAACGAAACAAGAAAGGGGATTTCTTGCTAGCTTGAAACACCCAGTACCTATTATAATATGAAAATTACACCACAGAAAATTCTTTACAATTTTTATTCACTTTGGCTTTACAAGAAGACAATACCTTGTTCTTATTGTCATAACTTGAATAAAGATCGTATGCGCGCACTTTTCCTATTCAAGAGAGACGACTCTACAAAATCAGCAGACGGATCAAGTTGGAGATTTTATTGACGCCACGAGATTAACATAGCTCATAAAGGGTTAACAATAGATTGCTATTTCCAAATAGGTGGAAGATGAAACTTGTTAAGTTCATTTAAGAGCATATCACGTGTCATGTCACGTGGTAAGTCGTAAAATCTTGAACACCTCCCAGAACTATCTCCGGACTTCACTGACGTCATAGAGTCGTTATTTAGGCTGTGTAGAGCTGATGGGGATTCTTGGAATGATACTGGAGTAGCTGTGTTAGGGGGAGGCGGAAAGTCTGTGAAACTTCCGGG